TGTAAATGGAGAATTACAGAAGCGTCTTATCTATTTCAAAGTGTATTCCATTCATTAAGTGAACTCTTCTCCACACAAGTTTCATCTTGATGGTTTCCCTCATGTAAACTGATTCTCAGGTGTTTTTTCAACTGTGTGATTTGAGAACGTTTCCCACCAGAGCTGCAATTATGTGGCTCTTCACTTCTGTGGGCTCGTGTGTTCTGTCCAAGAATCACTAAAACTGAATCCTACCACATATTTACAAAATCAAAGGCTTCAGGTCTGTATGTGACCTTATATGCCTTCTAAACTCTAACAAATAGAGTATATTTCTCGCATTGTTGCTGGTGATTGTGGTTTTTCTCTCCAGTATGGACTCTTCTCTTGTGGACTGTCAATTCTCCAATAAGTCTGAAAGCTCTCCCACATCATCATGTTCTAAGTACATGACTTATAATTTTTATGAATTCTTACGTGTCTTTCAAAGTTCTGCTTTATATTTGCTCTTTTTCCACCAGTGTTGCAGGGGTACGGCTTCTCACCTGTGGCGATACTTGTGGATCTTCAAGTCATAATTAAATCTTAAAGCTCTCCACCAAGTATGTTTTTTCTTTATCTCTCTCTTCAAACTGTTGCATTACTTTTTTTCCCCCAAAGTTCTTGCAAAGTTATAGCTTCTCACCTGTGTGAGTTCTCATGTGTGAAGTTTCAGGCCAGCATTCCTTTGAAATTTTTGCCACATGTTTTGCAAGAATATGGTTTCTCACTTGTGTGGCTTCTGATGTGACGTCTCAATAATGTCATTGTAGCACAAATATCTCTTTCCACAAGTCTCACAAGAATATGGTTCTCACCTGTGTATGGATTTTTAAATGCTCATTCAATACGAACTGTGCCTGAATTTTTCCCACAGGTGTTACATGGTACGGCTTCTCACCTGTTGTGGGTTCTCATGTGGACAAACAAGCCTGTACTTGTTCGACAGCTTTGCCACATGTTTTTGCAAGAGTACGGCTTCTCACCTGTGTAATTCTTATGTGCCTTTGTAAGTGTGTTTTCTGATAAAACCTTTTCCCACAGGTGTTGCAGGAGTGTGCACTCTCCCTGTTTGGATTCTCATGGCCTTATCAATACTGACTTGTCACTAAATCTTTTCCCACAGGTGTTGCAGGGTACGGTTTCTCACCCGTGTGGATTCTCAGATGTTACATTCAATTTGGACTTGAAGTTAAAAGTTTTCCACAGGTGTCACATTTGAAAGACTTTTCCTGTCTGAGTGTTACAATGACTCTCTTGATTCTGGGTCTACATCCTTGCTTCCTTCCTGATCTTGGCTCTCAGCTAACAGGAGAGTTGTGAGAGAGGAGCTGGTGGTCACGTTCCTCATTATAAGAGTCAACATAAAGGTATCAGTCTCCTGCTTCAGTACAAGCTGCTCTCCCTCCTGCTTGTGCTGAGTTCTTTCCTCTTCCTCTTTAATCTGTGGAGGTCTCTGGTCCTTCCTGGTCCAGACTTAGGTTCCTGGTCACAGAGCTGCTGCGTCATGAGAACCTCCTCCTCCTGACAGACATGTTGCTGTGGGAGCTCTGGAGGGACAAAGGGACATTAGAAATAAGGTTACTAATATGATAGAATAAAATCAGATTTGGCTTATTTTGTCCTCAGAACAACCCACAAGTTATTGTCTAATTTCTAGGAAATAAGTTTGGTTTGAGAAATAAGTATATGGCAGAAGCACTTGTGAAAAGTACAATGTTTAATTTTAAAGATATAGTCGTGAAAAAGTAACTTGAGTTTCCCTACGTCTTATTTTTTGTTTCCAGTACACATCTTAGACTCAGCATTTTTATAATAAATAGTCTAAACACATCTTAACAACTGAACACTTTAACACACCTTTTTTTTTCTTTCCCTCTTATATCACATTTCCCCACTTCCCCACTTATTTCTCCAACTGTCTGATGTCTCACCATGTTTGGTTTATCTCAGTCGCTAACTGAAGTTGCAGTGATTGGCTAAGTAGCATTATTTGAACAGTGCCATAAAGCAGGTTTGGGCCACTATTTTGATATCAACAGAGGTGGAAAGTAAGAAATACATTTACTCACGTTACTGTATTTTTTGTGTATTTTGTATTTTTTAAGTACAATTTAAAATCGGTATTTTGTATTTTACTTGAATATGTTTTGACTCAAGTATTGTACTTAGTTACTTTATAAATCATATGTTACTGGGTAAAAATAACAATTCAACCTACAGGGAAAATACACGCCAGAACCATAGACAGTAAACCAATGGCCAAGACAACAGTGACAAATGATGATGTGATTAGCACTGGCGCGTGAACATAGAGGGCGCGCGCAGACAAGCTAGGTTAGTGGGCGCGAAGTCTTTAGTTTCTAGTGCTAGAATGGAGTCGACAAAGCAGGCACGGCAGCAGTCGCAGTCCAGAAAACCCGGATCTAGAAATAATAGATGAAGCTCAAGCTGAAACATCAAAGTCTGTAGAACTAGATGCAGAAAAAAATCCTTGGCCACATTTGGAAGATTTCTTGTTCAAGCGTAGGAAAAAGCAACAGCATCATCATGCGTGCAAGATTTGCCTCCCAACAGTGAATACCTGTCTGCTTTCAACAACTCCACTTCAAATCTGCAGAAGCATGTTTTGGTAAGTATTTCTGCTGTCTCATTAGTAGCTCAACTAACTTTAAGCTGCTACTTAAACTGAACAAGAAGTTCGGTTGTTGTGAAGTGTTGTATTGCTTACATTTGTTACATTTGTTCTTTAATTAAAAACAAAATAGTTTTGGATTTCTGACCCTTGTCCTATTTTTATACCCTCACACCCACACAAAGAAAGTAACTAAGTAACTTTTACTTAAAGTACATTTCAAATGAACTACTTTTTACTTTTACTTGAGTACATTTCAGATGAGTACTTTTACTTCTACTTGAGTAATATTTCATCAAAGTATTGGTACTTTTACTTGAGTACAATATTTTTTGTACTTTTTCCACCCTGGATATCAAATATTGCTATATTTGGCATCATATACAATATTTTTCATGATGTCAAATATTTTTTTTCTATTCCAGTATAGCACAGTCTGCCTTGGTTCTGCTGTACAGTGGCTGCATTGCTGATCCCTGAAACATACAAAACAATACTAATATATTATACACACAGTAGAGCTTGTTACGAAATTTTGGCTGGACTTGTGCTATACTGGAATAGAATAAAAAAATATTTGAACATCATTGAAAAATATTGTATATGATGCCAAATATAGCAAATAAAAAATTTGTTGAAATCAGGGTGGAAAAAGTACTCAAAAATATTGTACTCAAGTAAAAGTACCAATACTTTGATGAAATATTACTCAAGTAGAAGTAAAAGTACTCATCTTGAAAATGTACTCAGTAAAAGTGAAAAAGTAGTTCATTTTGAAAATGTACTTTAAGTAAAAGTTACTTTAGTTTACTTTCTTTGTGTGGGTGAGCGTATAAAAAATAGACAAGGGGTCAGAAATCCAAAACTATTTTGTTTTTAATTAAACAGAACAAATGTAACAATGTAAGTTGCCAATAAGCAACAACATTCACAACACCGAACTTCTTGTTCAGTTTAAGTTTAGCAGCTTAAAGGTAGTTTGACTACTTAATGAGACAGCCAGAAATACTTACCAAAACATGACTTCTGCAATTTTGCGCAAGTGGAGTTGTTGAAAGCAGGACAGGTACTTCCACTGTTGGGACGGCAAAATCTTGCACTGCAGGATGATGCTGTTCGCGCTTTTCGCTACGCTTGAACAGAAAGAAATCTTCCAAATGTGGCCAAGGATTTTTTTCTGCATCTAGTTCTACAGACTTTGATGTTTCAGCTTGAGCTTCATCTATTATTTCTAGATCCGGGTTTTCTGGACTGCGACTGCTGGCCGTGCCTGCTTTGTCGACCTCCATTCTAGCACTAGAAACTAAAGACTTCGCGCCCACTAACCTAGCTTGTCTGCGCGCGCCCTCTATGTTCACGCGCCAGTGCTAATCACATCATCATTTGTCACTGTTGGTTCTGGCCATTGGTTTACTGTCTATGGTTCTGGCGTGTATTTTTCCCCTGTAGGTTGAATTGTTATTTTTACTCAGTAACGGATAGGATTTATAAAGTAACTAAGTACAATACTTGAGTCAAAACATATTCAAGTAAAATACAAAATACCGATTTTAAATTGTACTTAAAAAATACAAAATACACAAAAAATACAGTAACGTGAGTAAATGTATTTCATTACTTTCCACCTCTGTTGATATCAACAAATAGTGGCCAAAACCTGCTTTATGGCACTGTTCAAATAATGCTACTTAGCCAATCACTGCAACTTCAGTTAGCGACTGAGATAAACACACATGGTGAGACATCAGACAGTTGGAGAAATAAGTGGGGGAAGTGGGGAAATGTGATATAAGGGAAAGAAAGAAAAAAGGGTGTGTTAAAGTGTTCAGTTGTTAAGATGTGTTTAGACTATTTATTATAAAAATGCTGATACTGTTAAGATGTGACATGGACTTAACAAAAAATAAGACGTAGGGAAACTCAAGTTACTTTTTCACGACTATATCTTTAAAATTAAACATTGTACTTTTCACAAGTGCTCTGCCATATACTTATTTCTCAAAACCAAACTTATTTTCCTAGAAATTAGACAATAACTTGTGGGTTGTCTGAGGACAAAATAAGCCAAGATCTGATTTTATCTATCATATTAGTAACCTATTTCTAATGTCCCTTTGCCCCTCCAGAGCTCCCACAGCAACATGTCTGTCAGGAGGAGGAGGTTCTCACTGACCAGCAGCTCTGTGACCAGGAGAGGAACTCCAGTCTGGACCAGGAGGACCCAGAGACTCCACAGATTAAAGAGGAAGAGGAAGAACTCAGCACAAGCCAGGAGGGAGAGCAGCTTGTACTGAAGCAGGAGACTGATACCTTTATGTTGACTCTTAATAATGAGGAACGTGACCACCAGCTCCTCTCTCACAACTCTCCTGTAGCTGAGAGCCAAGATCAGGAAGGAAGCAAAGATGAAGACCCAGAATCAAAGAGTCATTGTAACACTCAGACAGGGAAAAAGTCTTTCAAATGTGACACCTGTGGAAAAACTTTTAACTTCAAGTCCAAATTGAATGTACATCTGAGAATCCACACGGGTGAGAAACCGTACCCCTGCAACACCTGTGGGAAAAGATTTAGTGACAAGTCAGTATTGATAAGGCACATGAGAATCCACACAGGTGAGAGTGCACACTCCTGCAACACCTGTGGGAAAAGGTTTTATCAGAAAACACACTTACAAAGGCACATAAGAATTCATACAGGTGAGAAGCCGTACTCTTGCAAAACATGTGGCAAAGCTGTCAGAACAAGTACAGGCTTGTTTGTCCACATGAGAACCCACACAGGTGAGAAGCCGTACCCATGTAACACCTGTGGGAAAAAATTCAGGCACAGTTCGGTATTGAATGAGCATTTAAAAATCCATACAGGTGAGAAGCCATATTCTTGTGAGACTTGTGGAAAGAGATTTTGTACAATGACATTATTGAGACGTCACATCAGAAGCCACACAAGTGAGAAACCATATTCTTGCAAAACATGTGGCAAAAATTTCAAATGGAATGCTGGCCTGAAACTTCACATGAGAACTCACACAGGTGAGAAGCTATAACTTTGCAAGAACTTTGGGGGAAAAAAAGTAATGCAACAGTGTTGAAAGAGAGAGATAAAGAAAAAACATACTTGTGGGAGAGCTTTAAGATTTAATTATGACTTGAAAGTCCACAAGTATCGCCACAGGTGAGAAGCCGTACCCCTGCAACACTGGTGGAAAAAGAGTCAATATAAAGCAGAACTTTGAAAGACACGTAAGAATTCATAAAAATTATAAGTCATGTACTTAGAACATGATGATGTGGGAGAGCTTTCAGACTTAATTGAGAATTGACAGTCCACAAGAGAAGAGTCCATACTGGAGAGAAACCACATCACCGCAACACATGCGAGAAAATATACTTCTATTTGTTAGAGTTTAGAAGGCATATAAGGTCACATACAGACCTGAAGCCTTTGATTTGTAAAATATGTGGTAGGATTCAGTTTTAGTGATTCTTGGACAGAACACACGAGCCCACAGAAGTGAAGAGCCACATAATTGCAGCTCTGGTGGGAAACGTTTTTCTCAAATCACACAGTTGAAAAAACACCTGAGAATCAGTTTACATAGGGGAAACCATCAAGATGAAACTTGTGTGGAGAAGAGTTCACTTAATGAATGGAATACACTTTGAAATAGATACAGCTCTGTAATTCCATTTACAATTTTTTTTTCAGAGGTCACTGTCGCAGCATTATTTCTCCTTCAATATTACTCATATTCTGTTTGCAGCTGTATTTCTTTGAAACCAGTGTAATTTCCCAAATCTTGGAAAAAAAATTGTTTCACAGTGAGTGCATAGTTCATATAAATGTAAATGGTTGGCCGCTTAAACACTTAAATCAATATTTTCTTTTACTAAGCGCTGTCGCCTCACAGCAAGAAGGTTCCGGGTTCGAGTCCCGGCTCGGACGCGGGGTCTTACTGTGTGGAGTTTGCATGTTCTCCCCGTGCTTGTGAGGGTTCTCTCCGGGTACTCCGGCTTCCTCCCACAGTCCAAAGACATGCAAATGGGGACTAGGCTAATTGGATACTCCAAATTGACCTTAGGTATGACTGTGAGAGTGAATGGTTGTCTCTGTGTGCCCTGTGATGGACTGGCGACCTGTCCAGGGTGTACCCCGCCTCTCGCCCGAAAAGATGCTGGGATAGGCTCCAGTCCCCCCGTGGCCCTACTAGAGGATAAGCGGTAGAAAATGAATGAATGTCTTTTACTACTTTTTTACTCTACTTGAGGTGTACATGTAGACTTTGAACTCTATCATGTTGAAGCTAAGAAACTCTGTTTTTTGTGAATGAATGAACTTGATATATCTGTTATACTAGTTCTGAGCTTTGCACAATCCTGTCTCTGAGCTCTGCAGGCAGTTGCTTCCACCTCATGGCTTTTTATTATTCATTGTCAGCTGTGAGATTTAATAAAGACACGTGTGCCTTCCCAAATCATGTCCAACAGTTGAATTTACCACAGGTGGACTCCGATCAAGGTATGGAAACATTTCAAAGATGATCAAGAGAAATAGAGGAACCTGAGTTAAATTTTAAGTGTCATAGCAAAAGGTCTGATACTTTTGTCAATGTCATATTTCAGTTTTTACTTTTTAATAAATTTGTAAAAAATTATAAAATTCAGTTTTCACTCTGTCATTGTGGAGTATTAACTATAGTCCAGTGAGAGAGAAAAAATGTTGCTTTTTTTTATAGTATAAGTCTGTAATATAACATAATGTGAAAAATTTGCAGGGGTTCAACACTTTCTGAATGCACCGTATGGACGTGCATCCAATTAGAGAATCAATGGAGTGAGGAGAATGGCCTCAAATAAAAGCCCCATTATTGATGAGTACTGGTACAGTATACGCTTTGGTCTAGAAAGGTAAAAAAGAAAATGTACATATATTCTGAACTCTGCCTAAGTACATTGATTATTGTCAGAGGGACAATAGTGCATCTATATTACACACAGATATAGCAATATTGATCACTTCAGTTTGAAAAAAAAAATCTTGAGGTATTTCTACTTTGAGCCATTTTATTTTGTTATATAAAGTATGTACCTCTACTTTACCACATTGTATTGTTTATATTATATACAGTATATATTTCTACTTTTCTACGTTTCAAAGGCAAATATACATTGTAGTCCACTAAATTCACTTGACAGCTATAATTAATTTGCTATATATTATACAAAACCTTAAAATGAACTTATAAAACTTGATGCCTCGTTAAACCATCCATCAGTATGTGAACTAGGTAAAAATTCAAACTTTTCCACCTCAACCAGCTGCCTCAAAATACATCATGTAGTAGTACAGAGAATATAACGTAATTTCTCCGTGAAATGAAGCGACACATATGTACAATCATAACTGAAGGTGGATCAACTGCCGGAACTTCACAGTGTGACACCCAGCGGAAGTAAACAATGAAAGTGCAAATAGGGTTAGCTTTGGCCTGAGGACGACGGTGTAGTTGTATCGCAGATAAATATTTCAGTGGTAACTAAGCAACAATGTCTTCAGTTCAGTATCTGAGAGAGTTTGTCAACGAGCGACTAACTGCTGCTGCTGAAGAAATATTCGGAGTCTTTGAACAAACTATCGTCGAGTACGAGGAAGAGATCGATCGTCAGCGCAGACTGCTGGATATCGTTTGGAAACCCGAAATAAAGCTACACAGGACAGGTCTGTGAAACCAGAATGGTCTGAATGAAAACTAACACAGTCCTGAGTTTATTTACTCAGAGATCTGGTTTTGTAACATCACGTTATTTACTGAGATTAAGAACAGTCTGATCGCGTGTCCCTCGTGTTCCACTGTCATGTACCACCTCTCACCTTCACTTACTGATCCTTATTGATACAGACCACTGCTGAATATGATGTGTTGATAGTGTTGATCTTGTAAACAGCTTATCACTCCCATTTCACTGGTAGATACTTCTGTCGATTATAGAATAATAAATCTTTACTTTAAAGCGTCATCAGACTTTGTCCCCGGACCTTTCTCATGTTGTTTTATAGATATTTCACCTGGGCCTCCTCCCACTACATGCACAACTCATCTGCTGGTGGACAGTGGCGTATCTGCCGCTGGAGCCACAGTGACTGTTCTCATGTAAAACAGAACAGCAACATAGCAGCTGCATTAGCCAGTAAAGGATCTACATGAATGAGTGGAGAGTGGAAGAGGAGCAAGATAATGTGTCCTTGTTCGATAAACTGGTCCAACAGCAGTGACATGACTCTGGTCAAAGTATGTTAGACATATGACACTAACATGAGTGGCACAGCAGCAGTGTGTCATTGGACAGCAGTATCTACCAGTGACAAAGTCTCACACACTATCAGCACATCACAGTCAATCATGGCTTGTTTTAGGAAGAATCAGTCCGTGAAGATGAGAGGTGATGCCACTAAAACAAGTGAGTGACACATTCAGAGGTGGTCTGGACCACGTGGGGCTGCATTCTTATAGAGCTGTGAATGTGAATGTGTCCTGGCCACATTGACTAAAACCTTATTTCATTATAGAACTGTGGGCAGGCAAGCAGTGGTCACTTGAGATCCATGTGGAGACGCATTTAATCCTTGGTGTGAACTGACGTAATTAGAGCTGTCGACTTGTGATCGGATCACTGAATATAAATGTTGATTACAGGTCTGAACAGGGCCTCAAACACTTTTTAATCTCAGTGATACTGCTATTTGTCATGTCCCTTTGTCCCTCCAGAGCTCCCACAGCAACATGTCTGTAAGGAGGAGGAGGTTCTCACTGACCAGCAGCTCTGTGACCAGGAGAGGAACTCCAGTCTGGACCAGGAGGACCCAGAGCCTCCACAGATTAAAGAGGAAGAGGAGGAACTACTCACCAGTCAGGAGGGAGAGCAGCTTGTACTGAAGCAGGAGACTGATACCTTGATGTTGACGCCTACTAATGAGGAAAGTGACCACCAGCTCCTCTCTCACAACTCTCCTGTAGCTGAGAGCCAAGATCAGGGAGAAAGTAAGCATGTAGACCCAGAATCAACAGGAAATGAAGAGACGCAACCAAAGCAGAGATATCACAAAAACACAAGTCACAATGACAATGTATACAACTCACCCACATCAAAAAGGCCCTGTAACACTCAGACAGATAAAAAGTCTTTAAAATGTGACACTTGTGGAAAGGATTTTCAGTATAAGTCCCTGTTGATTATACATCTGAGGACCCACACAGGTGAGAGGCCATATTCTTGTGAGACATGTGGGAAAAGATTTCGTAATAAATCACCATTGAAAAGGCACATAAGAATCCACACAGGAGAGAAACCATATTCTTGCAACACCTGCGGGAAAGGTTTTGCAGGTCGTGATGGCTTGTCGGTCCACATGAGAACTCACACTGGTGAGAAGCCATACACCTGCAACACGTGTGGGAAAAGATTTAGTGACACACCAATGTTGAAAAAGCACTTGAGAATCCACACAGGTGAAAAGCCATTTTCTTGCAAAATGTGTGGAAAACGTTTCACACGTAGTTATTGCTTGTTGATCCACATAAGAACTCACACAGGTGAGAAACCGTACGCCTGCAACACATGTGGGAAACGATTCCATCAAGTGTCAGGCTTGAAAAGACACATAAGACTTCATAAGACATATTAAAAGTGCCATATGTACTCAACTCGTGGGTGAGCTTTCAGACTTACTGGTGAATTGACAGCCCACATGAGAAGAGCCGATGCTGGAGAGAAACCACATCACTGCAACACAGGGATGGAGTGGGAATAAAAATCATCAAAATTCTGACATGGACTGGACAACCAAAACTCATTAAGAGACAGTTGATCATATACAGCCTTTGTCACACTTAATGTACTAAATGGAAGATAAATTAATAATGATTATTTGTATAAATTAGCAACTATAGAGACAGTGAGGTTAGGTTTCAGACTGGACAGTACAGCAGTAAATACAACACAAGATATATTTAAATTTAAGTAGTTTTCTCCCTTAATTTGATTTTTCTGTATTGTGGATAGATCCAAACTTCTCGTGTGTTGAATATTTTAAATTGAGTGAATTGGAATTTCTGAGCAGAAAATAAAGCTACACAACATTATCCTGCTAAATGAACTCAGACTACAGTCGGAGTTCTGTTGTTGTCTTCTGATCTTCAGATTCTTCTGGACTTTAATTTCTTTTCTCTGAGCTTTTCAGCCACAATTTTTTGTATTTTTGTATTTGTTTACTTTGTTGTTCATCTAAAGCAAGTTAGCAATAGTCCACTGCTGCCTCCATGTTAAAAAAAAGCAAAATTATATTATATTATATATTATATAATTATATAATTATATAACAAAATAATTCTGCATTGACCAGCTTTTGCAAAAATATCATTCACACATTAAACAACTTTCATACTTTAATTAGATTTTACTATAAATAATTTTGTAAGTTCTTCCGTCTGTAATTATGTGTTAAAGATGAAATTGTTCTTTTACTTAACAGCTCAAAAAGACATCAGTTAAATGTGGTTATACAGAAAACATGACATAATTTCCACTGTTAAAAGAAGCGACTCAGATATACAATCATGACAGATGGTGGAAATCAAAACTAACTCACATCCACTGCCGGAACTTCACAGTGTGACACCTAGGGGAAATGATCAATAAAAGCGCGCTGGCAGCATTGGATATGTGGGGTTAGCTTGAAGAAGAAGGTGTAGTTGTATCATTAACATCATACATATGTACATAGGCATAAAAATGTATTAGTATAGTAGGGCAGAAAAACATCATAGTATAGTAAGATATGAGATGTCATAAAGGCGTCATAGTATGGTAAGGAGTAAAATGTCATAGTATAGTAAGGTATGAAACGGTCATAAAAACGTCATAGTATGGTAAAGTTTAAAATGTCAGTATAGTAAGGTATAAAAATATTCTAGTAGTAAGGCATAAAAAGGCCATAAAACGTCATAGTATAGTAAGGCATAAAATGTCATAGTATAGTAAGGCATAAAACGTCATAAAATAGTAAGGCATAAAATGTCATAGTATATTAATGCATAAAAAGGCGACAAACCGTCATAGTATAGTAAGTCATAAAACATCAAAAAATATTAAGGCATAAAAATTCTATAAAACGTCATATTATAGTAAGGTATAAAAACGCCACACAAAGTCATAGTATAGTAAAGCATAAAACGTCATAAAATAGTAAGGCATAAAAATGCCACAAAACGTCATAGTAAGCCATAAGATGTCATAGTGTAATTAGGCATAAAAATGTAAAAAAAAAGAAAATAGTATAAGGCCTAAAATGTCATAGTATAATACTGTATAAAAAGTCATAGTATAGTAAAGCAGAAGAACTTCATAAAAACCTCATAGTATATTAAGGCATAAGAATGTCAAATGACGTCAAAGTTAAACATATAAAATTGTCAAAAAATGTCATAGTATAATAGTGTATGAAAAGTCATATTATAGTGAGGCATAAAAACGTATAGTAAGGTATTAATATTTCAAAACACGTCTTAGTATAGAAAGTAATAAAGCTGTTATACTGTAGAAAGCCATAAAACCTCATAGGTATAAAAGGCATAAAAATGTCAAAAGACAACATAGTATAATAAGGTATAACATTAGCAAAAAACATCATAGTATACTGAGGCAAAAGAGTTTCAAAACATCATAGTATAGTAAGGCATAAAAATGCCATAAAATGTCAAAGTGTAGTAAGGCATAAAAATGCCAGAAAACGTCATAGTATAGCAAGGCATAAAAAGGCCATAAAATGTCATAGTATAGCAAGGCATAAAAAGGCCATAAAATGTCATAGTATAGTAAGGCATAAAAAGGCCATAAAATATCATAGTAAAGTAAGGCATAAAAAGGCCATAAAATGTCATAGTGTAGTAAGGCATAAAAATGCCACAAAACGTCATAGTATAGCAAGGCATAAAAAGGCCATAAAATGTCATAGCATACTAAGGCATAAAAAAGCCATAAAACGTCATAGTAAGGCATAAAAACATCATAGTATAGTAAGGCATAAAATGTCATAGTATAGTAAGGCATAAAACGTCATAAAATAGTAAGGCATAAAATGTCATAGTATATTAATGCATAAAAAGGCGACAAAACGTCATAGTATAGTAAGTCATAAAAAGTCATAAAAACGTCATAGTATAGTAAGGCATAAAAAGTCATAAAAACGTCATAGTATAGAAAGGCAAAAAAAAGTCATAGTATAGTAAGGCATAAAAAGTCATAAAAACATCATAGTATAGGATGGCACAAAAACGTCTTGGTATAATAAGGCATCAAAAGTCATAAAAACGTCATAGTATAGGATGGCAAAAAAACGTCTTGGTATAGCAAGGCATAAAAAGGCCATAAAACATCATAGTATAGCAAGGCATAAAAATTCCATAAAACGTCATAGTATATTAAGGCATAAAAACGCCACATAAAGTCATAGTATAGTAAGGCATAAAACGTCATAGTATATTAAGGCATAAAATGTCATAGTATAGTAAGGCATAAAAATGCCACAAAACATCATAGTATAGTCAGGCATAAAACGTCATAAAATATTAAGACATAAAAATTCCATAAAACGTCATAGTATAGTAAGGCATGAAACGTCATAAAATAGTAAAGCATAAAAAGGCCATAAAACGTCATAGTATAGTAAGGCATAAAATGTGATAAAATATTAAGGCATGAAAATCCCATAACATGTCATAATATAGTAAGGATTGAAAATGTCAGAAAACATCCTAGTATATTAAGGAAAAAAACTTCAGAGTACAGTAAGGCATGAAAAGTCATAAAAACGTCATAGTATAGTAAGGCATGAAAAGTCTTAGTAGAGTAAGGCATGAAAAGTCATATTATAGTAAGGCATGAAAAGTGATAAAAAGTCAAATTATAGTAAGGCATAAAAAGTCATAGTATGGTAAGGCATAAAAAGTCATATTATAGTAAGGGATAAAAAGTCATATTATAGTAAGGCATAAAAACATCATAGTATAATAAGGCATGAAAAGTCATATTATAGTAAGGCATGAAACATAAAAAACATCATAGTATAGTAAGTCATGAAAAGTCATTATAGTAAGGGATAAAAAGTCATATAAAAGTAAGGCATAAAAACGTACTATACTAAGGCATAAAAAGTCATAAAAACGTCATTCTATAGTAAGGCAGAGAAAGTCATATTATAGTAAGGGATAAAAAGTCATATTATAGTAAGGCATAAAAAGTCATAAAAATGTCATAGTATAGTAAAGTATGAAAAGTCATAGTATAATAAGGCATAAAAAGTAAGGAACATCATAGTATAATAAGGCATGAAAAGTCATAAAAAGTCATTTTATAGTAAGGCATAAAAACGTCAAAGTATAGTAAGGTATAAAAAGTCATGAAAAGTCATAGTATAGTAAGTCATAAAAACGTCATAATACAGTATAGTATAAAAAGTAATAAAAAGTCATGATATATTAAGGAATAAAAATGTCATTCTATAATAAGGCATTAAAAGTCAAAAAACATCATAGTATAGTAAGGCATAAAAAGTCATATTATAGTAAGGGATAAAAAGTCATACTATAGTAAGGCATAAAAACATCATAGTATAGGAAGGCATGAAAAGTCATAAAAACGTCATTCTATAATAAGGCATTAAAAGTCAAAAAACATCATAGTATAGTAAGGCATAAAAACGTCATAGTAGAGTAAGGCCATTGCATAGGAAGTCATTAAAAGTCATAAAAACGTCATAGTGAAGTACTTACTCTCTCGGCTGGTCTTGTCAGTTTGTGATTCAGTGATCTTCTCTGTGTTTTGACTGTACTAACACTTTGTTCTACTGTGCTTCAGAAGAATTCCTGATTTGTGGCCTGCTGATCCTGCCAAACTACAATTTTGCCACACCACACCACCCACCTGCTCTTGGTCTCCAGCCTTCTTTTGTGTTTTCAGAATGTGTTTACTCCCCAGACAACTGGATTCCCCAGACCCACTTCCCCTCAACATTCACCATCAATATTGCTTTCTATCCAATAAACTCTGTTCCGTTGTTTTGTGTTTTGTGTTTTGTGTTTTGTCACTGCTCTGGGGTCACATTTCAGTTCTGTCAAAAGAGTTACACATAAAAAGTCATTTTATAGTAAGGCATGAAAAGTCATGAAAACGTCATAGTAGTGAGGCATAAAAAGTCACTGTATACTAAGGTATAAAAAGTCATAGTATGGTGAGGCTTAAAATGTCATAAAACGTAAATTATAAGGCATAAAAAAGTCATTGTATACTAAGGTATAAAAAGTCATAGTATAGTAAGTTATAAAAAGTCATAGTATAGTAAGGCATAAAAAGTCATTGTATATTAAAGCATAAAAAGTGAAAAAAGTCATACAATAGTAAGGCATAAAAACTCATTGTATAATAAGGTATAAAAAGTCCCAATATAGTAAAGCATGAAAAATAATAAAAACATCATAGTATAGTAAGGCATAAAATGTCATAAAAACGTCATAGTATAGTAAGGCATAAAAAGTCAAAAAACGTCATAGTATAGTAAGGCATAAAAATGTCATAGTATAGTAAGGCATCAAAAGTCATAAAAACGTCACAGTATAGTAAGGCAAAAAAACGTCAGTATAGTAAGGCAAAAAAACTTAATAGTATAGTAAGGCATCAAAAGTCATAAAAACATCATAGTATAATAAAGCATCAAAAGTCATAAAAACGTCATAGTATAGTAAGGCAAAAAAACAT